GATCTGGTCGATCTCTTTCTGAAGGACATGTTCTCTTTCCTCAAGGCCGATGAACTCTGTATTCACTCTTTCAAAGGAGGAAGCTTGAATTAACAATTGGTTAGCAAGGGTATCCTTCCTGTTTTTACTCTTGTTGAATTGGTTGATTGCTTCATTGGCTTGGAAAATATCATCGGTCAGAGTTGGTAACTGGCCTTTAAAGGTAGCAATAGTGGCTTGAAGATCAACCGGAAAGTCTGGGTACTGGCTGAGTGTAGAAAGCACTGCTGTGAGCTCACTTTCAAAATTAGGAAGATCAGCAGCATCCCTTTTCAAGATCTCAAGTAAAGATTTTTTGGTCTCTTCTAAGGATTGTATAGGGATATTGGTTGAAGTGACTGGAGTGGCTCCAGAAGATTCACTTCCTTTCTCTTCGGTCACTGAAGCCACCACATCCTTAAAAAAATTGCTCAAGGCCAGTAGGGATGAAGCAGGAACTTTGTGTGGAGGAAATAAAGGAATAATTTGAGTTTTCTCATACACAACCTGACAAAATGAGGAAAGATTAGATCTTAAGTTTTTTTTTTTTTGGGGGACATGAGATAGTCAATACCTTAGATGATTCGGCTATGTCTGTCACTAAGAGTGGCTGATGACTGGTTTCTGGAGGAGGAAATTCTGGCTGAACCGCTGTGCTATCTCCCTGGGATGAAGTTTTAGCAGGAGTGACTTGAACATTGAAGGGCACCTCAATGGGATCATGAAAATCCTTCAGAGGGCTGAAATTTCTAACTGGGCTATAGACCAAGTCAAAAAGAGGAGATTGCTGCAAAAGAGAAGAAATTAACGACCATATTAATTGAAAAGTTTGAAAATTTCAAGTACAGTTATCTTTACCTCTTTTTCATCTGAGGAATGATCAGAAGGAGTGTCAGCCACATTAATTACGGGATCATCGGCCACGTCTTCTGTAGGATGAAGGCTTTCTAGATTTTCTTCCACTTCCTGTTTCTTACGTGTGCTCAGTCTTGTTCTTTTTAAAGTGCCATGAGCAGTTGATTTCTTTCTTTTTCCCTGGAGATGGAAGCTTTATTAAAGTTTGTCTCGGCCAATAATAGTTGTGGCCGAGAATTAGAAATCAATATTGGCTAAGTATTTTAACAATTGAGCCGATATGATTGTCTTTGTGTGTTAATAGAAAAAAAAAAAAAAAACTTTTACCTTTGGAGGAATTGGAGGAACATCAGGGATGATGACTGATTCAGTTATTGAAGGCTGAGGAGGTTGGCTGGAGGAAATCTCATCATCTTGGGGCTCAACGTCTTCTGGATTAAGCGAGGCTGATAAAGTTCCACTATCTGAATCTGCGAAAAAAAAAAAAAAAAGGGGGGGTAAGAGAATTTCAATTAAAAGTTTATATATATATATATATATATATATATATATAAATAAAGGAAGATCGTACCCTTGAGGAGGCTGACAGTGGCTTTGGCCTTAGCTTTTCTCTCTTTATTGGTCCTTGTTGGAGCATCTGTTGGCTAAGAGAAAGGGAGTTTCTTGGCCGTTTATTTTTTATCTTTGGGAGGATCTTTTTGAGGCATCTTCTTTGGGGTAACGGCCCCGGAAATTATGAATGCCCCTTCAAAGGCCACAGATATGAACTTGAAAGATTCCAATATTTTAACAACAAGGGACTGGCTATCAGCCGTCCTTGTAGAAGTAATGTAAGAAGACCACCATTGATCAAAACTAGAATCTGAGGCTGGGTTTTTGATGAAGGGTAGGAATTGGAATCCGGCTTGCAGATTTGAGAACCGGGAGGACACGTTCTTTACATAGGAGTCATCTGGAAATACCACACGCCTATGGAAGTTCTTGTTGAAAGAGAAATAAGGGGGCATGGGGATCATTTGAGTCAGACCAAATTGCCTAGCAAGTTGGTTTGGATTGTAGAACTCAACTCCAACTTTTGAGTTTACTGTGCCTAGAGGGCCAGTGTTGAAGTGAAGGTCTCTTGAAAGTAAGAAACTAGCCCACATGGCCGAATGCTTATCAGCTGATTTTTTGGTAGACACTCCTTGAGGAGGAGTCAGCCATCGAGGTGCTTGTGAGCAATGAGAAAATGGAAGGAATTGGCTGATAGTCCTCTGTTCACAACCGGAGTAAAAGAAATTGAAGCAATCTCCAAACGAATGGGATTTAGGTACGGCTGATGCGTAACTTACAGAAAGTAATGGGTCATTGGCCGAAGGCCTTACCACAGGTCCGAGTTCAGGAAAGTACACTTGAAGCAAAATTTGAAATAACCAGAGGGGACCACCATAGCGTCCGAAGTTGGAGGTAAGCAAGTCATAAATCCCTCTATATAAATGAGAAAGCACCAAGGGGGCAAGAGCAAGGTGTTTACCTCTTGAAAGGGCAACGGCCACATGAATGTAATCCTTTGTGACTTGAAAGGCCGGTACGCATAGAAAAAACTTGTTCAGCCATGCCAACAAGAAGGCAATATGTTCAGCATCATTCACAGGGACGCGAGGATCCATGGTGGAAGTTAAGTATTTGCCATAAGAGGATTCAGATGATTTGGTTCCAGTTTGCTTTGAAGGGAAGATGAAAGGAGAATCCTTTTCTACCAATAAGGTACTTACATCAATCCCAAAGGGGGTTTGAGGCCGGTTAGATAGCACACGTCTTGAATGGTTGGAGCCATCATGCCACATTTCAAGTGTAAGGAGTTGGTGGTGGTCGACCAATTAAACATGGCTGCTATCATCAAGGCTCTGTCTTGGGCGATGTTAGTTTTACTTAGCTGAATGGCATCATATATGCCACAATCCTTCCATATTTCTCCCTTCACAGCTCCAACTCAGTCGACCCAATTGATCCAAGCATCATTTGGGCTATGCCATGTTCTAAAATGAAAGTGTGGCAAACTGCCATTTTCATTAGGAGGGAAGGTTTGAAGGAATGGAAGAACGTCGGCCGAAGGATAGAAAGGTGAGATTGATGAAGGAGCTTCATCAAGGAAAGCAGGACCTAAGCCTTTGAAGTCAGTACGAAGATCGATAAGGGTATTGAGACAGTATTTGTAAGGAGATAGAGTTTTTAGGGATTTTTCTATGATGTTGCCATGAGTTGAAGGATCGGTAGGTTGAGGGATAGAGGTGGAATCAGTTGATTTAGTTTTCTTAGGAACCATAGAGGACGTCAGAAACGATTTCGCCGAGAAAGAATTTCAGAGATAGAAAGTTTAAGGAAAGAAGAATGATTTAGAGATTAGAGGGTATCAAGCTAAATACTTGTTGGATGTAATAGCGGATTAGTGTAGTCGCCGCTTTAATTGGGAAAGATAACCATTAAAGCAGGTGGTTGGGAAAAGGATTTATTACTAAAATTTGAATTACAATTTTAGGGCGATTCAAATTCCAAACGCTTCGTATCATAAGTGATAAAAGCCTTTGAAATTCAGGGGGCATTTGTTGGCACCAAAACTTGGCAGCCACTTCAGCAGCGACGTGGACCAATGGGAAGCCGATAAGGGTTGAGCATGTCCAAGAATGGTCGGCCAGTGGAGAAATAGTAGGAGAAGATTTAGGAGGATATCTATATATATTCAGCCACCTCACCAAAAGGGTTGTTACTAAATAACCGAGATTTGTGTTAATTTTAAAAGGAAATTTCGTCAGAAATAGAACATTGGGAGAGGTTGGCTGAGGTGATATAATTAAGTTCCTAAAAAAATAGGGATTTAGTTATAAGAAAGGAAATTGAATCCTTATGGAAATGAAATTCAAAAAGAAAGGGGGAGCCACGTGAGCGTATGGGTCAAGGCTATAAATGGTTTTCCAGCCATTTAAAGGAATATTTCAGTCAAAGCTTGAAGAAAGAAGTTGCTAAAAATCAGCAGCTTATTAGCAATCTTCCAGCAGCTTTCTACCGACTTCTTAGCAATTAATATTTTCTTCAACAAAGGTATTTTATTTGAAGTAAGACGAAACAAGAGGAGAAGAGATGTGAAAGACTACTGGAATACGACTTATTTTCAGCAACAAAGTGAAGCAAATCAAGGAAAAGAGAGATTTCAGTAAAGACTTTCCCATTGAAACTGGAGCATCGATATTGAAGGCGAGGAATGTTGGGCCGTAGCTCGGTTTGAATTTCAAAAGAAAAAAATGATTAAAGCAAAAGAGATTTTCTAGCAATTAATTAGGAGAATAGGTTGAGATAGAACTTCTATAAATAGAAGTATTGTATTCCATTCCAATCTGTCCAGCACCACCACAAAACATGCATTTCAACTAAAAATGTTTTCAATTGACTCTACGTCATTTTTTCCTATCAGTTTCTTTATTTCAATTTAATGGCAATTAATTAGATCATTGTCAACTATTTCAATTCAGCCATTTACTTTCTTTCAATTTCAATTATGCCAATTTAAATTACGCAATTTTAGTTAGGCTTTTAATTCAATGGCAATTGATTAAATTCTTGCCATTGAATCGTAGTGACAATTGATTAAATTCTTGTCATTACTTGGCTGATGGCAATTGATTAAATTCTTGCTATCACGTTTCAGTGGCGATCGATTAAATTCTTGCTATTGTGTTTGGCTGATGGCGATTGATTAAGTTCTCGCCATCACGTTCGGCCGGCGATCGATTAAGTTCTTGCCGCCTGTCTTCACTCGGCCATTCCATCCATTCAAACATTCATTAGCCGTTGCATTTCTTTAGACACTCTAAAAGTCCTTGCTACAAACAAGGCATAAAAGAACCTTGCTGGCAGTTCTTACTAGTCTCTCTCCCACACAATCGCCTGAGAGTCAGCCATCGGAAAAAGGGATAGGCTGGAGTTCAATTACATATTTTGGGTATTTTGTACAAATACTCTAGCACGCCCGCGAAGAGTCCATCGACCGGCGTAGGGAACAAAAACCGCGCGAACAATATATATATACACACACACATAAATTCATACATAAATACATACATATATATATATATATGAAAGAAAATTTTGACCTTCTTCTTTTATTTTCCACAGCCAGATTTGGCTGGCTTGGAAGACGGAGGAGGAGCTTTTTCCTTCTTTGGGGCCTGCCAAAAACAGATTAAAAATTCAGATAGAAGATGATGAGAGAGAGAGAGAGAGAGAGGGTGTTCTAGAGAGAGAAACTAACGCCACAAGAGAGTGGAGGAGGCGCATACCATCGGATTGGATGAAAGAAATAAACAGAGAGTGGCGGAGGATTGAAAAGCGAAAGGTAGCAAAGACGAGAGAGAAACTCAGACGGAGGGGGTTTCTAACACTAGGAGGAGATTAAAATGGCAACAGGATAATGACGTCGTTTAGGTGTCATTTGATTTGGGACGAAAATGATGACGTTTAACTACTTTTAGAGTACTAGTTACAAATGCACTTTCACGTCGTGAAGGTTTGATGGCTTTGCAGAGTTGGTAAAATAAAAGTCTGAGGTATCATATGTTCCAGATTCGAGCCCATTCATTCTCATTATATTTTTTGATTGAAACGACAATATTCCTAGGTTTGTAGTTTATAGTGGGTCTCGAAGAGACCCTACCTAGGTGAGTTCTTTAAAAAAATAATAATAATAATAAAAAAAAGGGATAACAGCCTCAGCATAATCAAGATACCTAATCATTACACAAATAATCAAAAATTGTAATTGACAAATTTCTATGTTGAAACAAGTCGGCGATACAGAATCATCACTTGACCAATGAAGGACTGCCACGACCACACGGATAACTGTATCAACATAATCAAGATGCGCAAATCAAGGGAAGGAGTGATCGAAGCTTGATAATTAGCAAGGGACGATGATATAGAAGAAAATAGGGAAGAATATTACAAAATTCATGTATAAATGGATTAAATAGTGCCCACAAAGGCATGGATGAGGGGGTGAGATCAAGGAGAAAAATCCGTTTTGTCATAATTAGTTCTTATTTTCCTTCTTGGGTGTTGGTGCAAATCTTCCTTCACAATTTTTTGCACTTACAAAGTCTGAACGAATTGTAATTTTATTATTTAATTTTGAGTATTGAATTCGGAAGCAGAATTGAAATATGTGAACATGTCAACATGCTCTAAAATTAGAGATGGCAAAATAGGTCAGGAATCATTAACCCACCTATAGTCGTCCGTTTTTTAATGGTTATGAGTGAATCATATTTAATTTGAGAGTCAAGATGGGTTGGATAATTTTTAACCACTTAATTTGAAGGCCAAGATGGATTGAATAAGGTTAACCATATTCAACCCATATTTCGTCCATCACATAATAAACACACAACACACACCCATACTCTAAAATTCTCTCACTCATAATCTTCTCTCTTAAATTTATCTCTCATCAATCCCCTCTCTCTAAATTTCTCTCTCTATAAATTTCTTCAAAAAAAATTAAATAATTAAAAAATAATTTTAAAAATTTTAAATAATTAAAAAATAAATTTAAAAATAAAAAAATAAAAATTTTAAAACGTTTCGGAAAAAAAATAATTAATTTTTTTTAAAAAAATTTTAATAATAAAAAATTGAAAATAAATAAAAACAGGTTAAAAGAAATGCAAAGGCAAAATGGAGGGAATGTGTCAAATCCAACTCATCTTCCTTGGCTATTTGATGCTTTGCATGCATTGTGTTTTCGTATGACTAATTCATTGCGATATATGTAAGATGTAGGTGCTACAAAGCTGTACTCATATATACATATATATGTGTGTGTGTGTGTGTGCGCGCGTGTGTGTGTGAAAAATTCATTATAATGGTCAACTTGTAATTAATTACCGTACAGATAAGAAGTCAAGGAACCAATCTCCACTGTAGCACTTTGGTGACGACAAAAAAAAAAAAAAAAAAAAAAAAAAAAAAAAAAAAAAGAACCAATCTGACTTATATAGATAACAATAATGGCATGTGCATGCCACACAGACCTCTAGGCATTGCGCCGCTCTCTCTCTCTCTCTATATATATATATATATATATATATATATATATATATATGTATGTATGTATATCACACACATAACTAATCCTACATTTTTACCCTCTATATATGTATGTATGTATGTATATCACACACATAACTAATCCTACATTTTTACTCTCTATATATGTATGTATGTATATATATCACACACATAACTAATCCTACATTTTCAGTTAATGGTTCGTATTCATAACTCCTATCTTTTCGTTACTAAATTTTCATTATTTTTTAAAAAATATAAAAATAATTAAAAAATAAAAAATAATTAAAAATAATAATTAATGGGCTCACGGGTCATAACAGGTTGACCCTACCCATTTTCAACCCGCTCATTTTCAATCCATTTTGAACGGATTAAATATGAGTCTTGATCCATGTTGACCCGCCCATTTGCCACCCCTATCTAAAATAGATGGACCTTGCTCCTAATGGACTTGATCCTACCTTTAGTCATCTTTGTCATCATGGAAGTGATTTGTCTTTGGAAAGTGCTGTAAGTAGACGGCTTTTTCAGCCCAGACGACCCCAATGAATGTCAGGGAAATCCTGAAGCTCATACCCATTCTTAGGATGTTGCAAGCTTCCCATTCTTCGACTTCGTTTAACATATTAAAAAGTAAGGTAAAGTACATCAGCACTCTTGAGGTTTGGTATAAGGATAGGTAGATAAAAATTGTCCTACTTTTGGACAATCACAACCCTTTAAGTTTTAAAAAATGGACAAAGACATCTTGACAATAGTGAATTGATTTTATTACCCTTTGATATAAAATTGACAAATACAATTGACTTAAATACTGATGCGACCCGAACGTGTGCATAAAATAATGCACAACACTTTAGGTTTAGAAATAATGTCAAGTGGGCATCATATTTTAAAATTTATAAAACCACTAAACACTTATACTATGTAGTATGAAGCGAGTAGGGATCGAACCCAAGGGATTGAACACGTGTTGGGATTAAACTTGATTTTAGTGCTAATGAGATTGCACAAGAGAGAGAGAGAAAGAGCAAAAGATTTTTGGTGAAGTGATTAAACTAGAGTTAAATCGAAAGCATGGAAATAGAAATGACAATGCAAGTAAATTAAATTAAATTAAACTAAGAATTAAAGAGATATGAAGAGAGTCTTAGGGTTAGGATTCACCACTAAGGTCATGCAATTAACCATATGCTTTCAATTAATGGGGAATTCATTAGTGTAATTATAGATGTGGTCACATTATCATCACAAATCACAATTGTAAGCATAGATTATCAACATCAAGAATGAATTGTTTACCTAATGACAATTAAACTAAAGTGTAGAACCCATTCAAGACTACGTCATAACCCACTATACACATTCACAAATGTATTCGATAAAAGCACACATCAATCAAAAGGATAATACTAATTGTAATTAGAAGTATGGATTAACATAATCAAGCACAAATTGCCTACTTTACTACAATTACCTAATGACAATAAGCTAATTTGTAGAACAACCCATCAAGATTAAGCCTTTATCCATCAAATTAATTTACAATTGTATCAACTAAGTCTCATGCTATGGCCATCACTAAACACAACTAAAAGAAGTATCAAGTGTAGAGTATAATTCTAAATCAATCACACATAGACATGCAATTTTCATATAGAATCAATGGAAGAATTAATTTTCAAACATCTAATGAAGAATAAAATCCCTAATTAATCATATATAGACATACAATCAACTTGGAGATTTCAATGGAAGAATTAATTAATACAATCCCTAATTTGTCAAATCAAGCATGTATATATAAATAAATCACAAGGCCAAATATTTAATTACAACTTAATAATACACCAAGAAAAGAAAAACAAAGGTTTAGGTTACATGAACTTAAGGCTCATCCAAGCCCTAAGTGAAGAACTAGCTCATGGAGAAGATGATCATGGTGTTAACAAGCTCCATCTCCATCTTTTGGCTCCTTCTTCTTCTTCCTTCAATTGTAGACAAAGTCTCTGTAAAAATGTTCTTCAAACCCTATCTTTTCCTTTTTCCCCCCAGAGAGAACGTGATATCCCGGTACAGAAAAATAATATAAAACTTAATAAATCTTTATAATATTCCACTAAATAAATAAATACTAACCCTAATCTAATGACTCACTGGGCCTTAAGTAACAACCCTATTAAAGCCCAATAGTTCACAAAATAAGCCCAAACAATAAAAAAAAAAATCTATAATGTTGCCAAGTCCTGGGGGATAGCCTGGGGGATCGATCCCCCCAGAGTTGGAAATTTCCTTTAAGCCCTATTTAGCTCCATTTTGGCCCCAAGCTCATTAGTTTGCTTCTTCATCTTTGGGAACATCATCAAAGGCCTGAGATTGACCGCTTTTGAAGAATAAACACACTATACGAGCAATGGACTGCGACCTCCTTTTTGCCATTTTTAGAGCTTTTTCTGAATATCTTTGCTTGACTCTAAAAATGCTTTAATGGACCGTTCTTAGCTCATTTTAACTTTATTGCCCTGAAATACACATAAACATAAATTAGGACTAAAATATGAAATTAAGATAGATGCAAAGACTGAAATACCCTAACTTAGGTGCTGAAATGTGCAACATTTAAGCCCTTATCAAATACCCTTAAATCAAATAAGTTTAAATTGATTACTGGGTAAAACCCATATGATAAACTCAAATTTTCTCTATCATTACCCTCTTCTTCTCTTTCTCAGACCCTAACCCAAACAATTACTAGTATTTGATATAGATATATATATTGTCTGTATAGACACCACCACAAATCACGCACGCACATGTATCATCACTACCACAAATCAGTCCCACTGTCACATCATCATCATCCCTTAACTTCATCATCATCCATTCATCAATTTTGATTTTGATCTGTTATAGTTATATATATGTGTGTGTATATATATATATATGTATATATATATATTTGTAAGATCTTGTCACTAATTGTTGAGGAGCAGAAATTAATGGGCAATGGAAGCAATAATTTGGCTGAGATATGCAAGAAGAAGAAGATGTTGATGATGTCTGTAATGTCCTTGCCTGAAATATATATATGTATACTAGATGAATCAATGTGCGTTGCACGTAATGTAAATTATCTGTAATTATTTTTATTCTTTTGCAAATATCAAATATCACCCTATGACTTCAATATGAAAACAAATTATTTTTCCCCAACAAGAAATAAAAAATAAAACAGATATGCATATGAAGTTTAATAAAATAACAATGAATTTGGTTTATTTTCAGTGAATAAACCAAAATACTTTGTACAC